CAAACCCCTGCCTTTCCCTACAGCCTTCTTCCCTAGAACCTTCTCTCCCCACCTCACCCCACCCAACCGCTGCCCAAGAGCCCTCACCTCCCCGACTTCCCAGACGCTCTTGTAGAAATGACCAAACCCTAGAGTAGAAGGGACCCAGTAGATTAGCGGATCCAACCTCTCCTCACTCTGCAGGCAGGGAAACTGAGGCCCAGAGACAGGAAAGTACCGTGCAAGACCACAGGAGGTTCATGCCAAGTGGGGCTAGAACCAGGGTCCACTGGCGCCCAGACTCTGGCTTTTTTCTTTTTCCGTACTTACTACAGACCTTCTCTCTCCCCTCTCTCCTCTTCCCCTTTGTCTTTCTTTTCTTGTTTTTCTCCCTGAAATACCTCGAGGAGGAAGAGAGCTGGGGAGACAGGACAGGAGAATGACAGGAGGTGAAGAGCCAGGTGGGGTCTGGACGGGAGGTCGGGAGAGGGGGGGTTGCGAGACGGAGGCTGTGCGCGCGCAGGGGCACAGAGCCAGGGACGGGAAGCACGGAGATGGGCAAGGAGAGCGGGTGCCCGCGCCGTCTGGCCGTTTATCCCTCTGCCCCGGCCCCTTCGCCTGTGGGGTCCCGCCCCGTCCCACCGCTAATCCCAGGCGCCCCGGCCTCAGCATCACTTCCTTTGCTTCTCCGCCTTTGCCAGCTTGGCCTCCTCGGCGCCGTCTTGGTCCTTGATGAGTTTCATCCTCTTCTTGCCCAGCGGGGCCTTGAAGTAACCATTCTTGGTTTGGCGGCAGAGGAGGAACGGTAGGTGCACTGGCTCTGACCCTCGGCTCTGCTCCCTGGCCCTGCCCTTCCCTTTAGACGGGTCTGCGTCCTCAGCTCTCCTCTGGGGTCCTTGCGTCCTGCTAGAGTCGTGCTTTCCCTTTGCTCTTCACCAATACTCGAGGCCAGCGTGCCAGCCACTGTCAGGGGTGAGCCCCCCTCCCCTGCCCTGCAGCCCCCTCTCCTGTGCTTCCACGGCCATCCCTGGGGGTGGGAAGGGATTCAGAGGTGGGGGACGTGAGTAGCTGCTGGTGCAGGAACCAACCAAGGGCTCCCAATACGCAGGTGCCCCTCTCGGACTCCGCCCTCCCCGCAAGCCGAGGAAACCAGGTGAGACGGCCCTGCGCACCTGTCCTTCCCTTCCCAGCTGAGCTCCACGGGGAGGAGACGGGGGGCTCCAAAGGGGGCTGTGGGCCTGGGGCTTCAGAGGACCGACTCCCTAACTGGTGCCAGCCCTCAGCCCTCCTCCCCGCCTATACCCCCCCCACCCCATCCCCACCCAAAGCCCCACCTCCAGGGACTCCTCCTTCTCCCTGTACACCGGGTCCAGCTTCACCAGGTGCCCCAGGAACTCTGAGGCCACCAGGGGCCGCTTGGACAATTGCAGGAGCCGCCGTTCCGTCAGCACTGCTTGGATGGCTTGGAGAATGCAGCCAGGTGTGTAGCCGTCGGACACCATGGGACACCTTGGCCAGGGCACTGATGTCCAGGCTCTGAGTCACCTGGACCCTCTGGGCCTCCATCATATGCTTCCAGAGCACTGTGGGCGTGGAGGGAGGACACGAGGCAGGGAGAGGCAGTGGGCACTTCTGTCTGTATCTGGAAAGAGTTTGTGCTTCTGGAGGGCGGCCCTACGTCCAACCGCGCCTCTCCTCCCAGGAAGGTAAGGGTCAGCCTCCCCTCTTAACCTGGGAAAGGGAGACTCCAAGGACTAAAGTGGCCTGCCCGTGTCTACAGAACCAGGCCAGGACCCAGACCGCCGGGCTGCGTATCCAGTGACCCTTCCAGAACACCTGGCTGTGGAGGTGAGGCCTCAGAGCAGTGGGGATGGGAAGAAGCGGGGAGCTTTGGCAGGGGCGGCCCCTCGACCCCGTCTCTGGCCTATCCCCAAGTCCCAGGGCCTCACCACAGCGAGAAGCATAATCGGGCCGCGGCCGGAGGATCCGCTCGTAGGTGCGGCACAGCCCCTTCATCTCAGCCGCCTGCGGCCGGTCAGTGGTCCCGATCAGCTTCGCGCGGTCTCCAGGAGTCAGCAGTCACAGGGCCTTAAGGGTGAGGTCCTTCTTTATTCGCTTGGGGTCCATCTGCTCTGGGGAAGGAGGGGAGGTGGGTGGGGACACAGTGACATTATACGGGCTTCTAATTCACAGGGCACGTGCTCACGCTCCACCTCACATGGACCCTGGGGGGGGGCAGACAGGAGGGGCTGTCAGTCCTGCTTGAAGGATAAGGAAACAAGGCAGGAGGAGGACAGGGGACTTGTCCAAGGCCTCACGGCGGGTGAGGTTTGGAGTGACGTGAACAAGCCCACGCTCGCCTGTCCCTCCCACGGGCTCTGCCCAGGCGCCCTCACTCACCTCCTTGTCTTTTTGGGGACTCGCTTATAGAAATTCTCCGCATTCCCAATCCGGAGGGCTGTAGGTACTGAGCCACCTGGACAGGTCAGAGAATAGAAACCTGACATTAGCTGTCCCTGGGGAAGGGTCACCTCCCCATCTGGTCCAACCCAGGGTCAGGGCCAGCCTCGGGCAATGGCGGACCTCAGAGCTCCAGCCTCGCTTCCCTCATCCTGCGAACCCCACCTCTCAGCCCCTTGTATACCCCTCATATCACCACAGCAGAGCCCCGGCCCTCGCCGGGCGGCCTCTTCTCTGCCACAAGAAGAAACTGCTCTTCCCACTTCCCCTCACCTCCCCCATCCCTGGGGCTTCAGGAATCCACGAGCCCCCAGCAGGGATTGGTAGGGAGACCTCACCAGCTCCTGAAACTACACCAGCCGGGCAGCTGGGTGACCTCCTGAGTCCACCCTGCTCTGTTGTCACAGTCTGAGAACTAGAAATGCCGTCGGGGACCCAGACCTTAAAGACGATGTGCACCGACGTCTGCACCCCTGCACGTTGCCAGGTGACAGGTCGAAAAGGTTGGCACCGGTTTCCACGGCCTTGACCAGCATCGTCTCCCCCATGCCCGAGGGGCCCACTAGGAGGATGGAGCGGTTGAGGGGGCGCATGGAGTGTATGTCTGGGGAGCCTGAGAGAGGAAACAGGGGCCGGCAGGGGGCCGGCAGGGGGTCAGGGGTGGAGACGTGTCAGGTGAGGCCAAAGGCCCCAGGCTGGGCAGGATGAGGTTCGGGATCTGGTTCGGTCCTTTGGCCTAGGGTCTGGGCAACGCCCCAGGCATGCCCTCTGTGGGAGGCGCCCTGGAGGAATTCCAACGGTGTAGCAACCATGATTCCAAAGGGCTACTCGCGGTGTCAGGAGCAAGCCCTCCACCTCCTCCCAATGTCCCTTCTGCTTCCTATACCATCTGTTTCCACTGCTGGGTTTTGAAGGGATGGAATTAAAGGGCACGTGACAAACCACTTCAGAAAGATCCGGCCTCTGGTGTTTATAGGGGGTGGGGGGCTGGTCTTCGGGGAATGGGACAGACTATGGGACGTCACTTGGGATTGAGTGAGGGGCTGAAAATGTGGCTCCTCAGCAGGTGGAGGGCCCACCTGACTTCCGGGACGGCCCAGTCGGGGTGTGACCTCCAGCGGGGCCCGGGGAAGGCGGTGGGGGGGGCGGTGTCCGACATGAGTTCATGGCACTGGGATTAGGAAGCCCAGGCTGGACACGCCTGCCTCGGCCACCCTACCCTGCACCCAGCCTCCCCGAGAGCCACCTGCCCGGCACTGGCTCTTGCCTTTCACCAAGCCGCAGAACCCCACACAAGGCCACGTTCTGTCGTATGTCAAACAGAGAAGGCATAGGCAGCTTGTTTGCCAAATTCAGAGTCGATCCAAGACAGAGGCAGTCACCTGGGGGACAGGTGGCCCGCTGGTGAGTGGCACCCACTGGAGCAGGGCACGCGAGGAGAAGGGTCACTGGGGAGGTGGCAGTCGGCTGCGGGGAAGGCCATGGCCAGGGGCACCATTCCTTAACCTCGGGAGCAGGCGCTGGGGAGGGGTCTCACCAACAGAGTCTTTCAAAGCCACTGTCTCGCACTTCTTTAGAAGGCCAAAGATGATGAGCTCTTCAAACAGGGAGTCCACAGATCTGGCACAGGATGGCGTAGCGGGGGCCCCGAGGAAAAGGGAAAGGGACACAGAGATGGGTTGGGGCGGTGCTGTAGGCACGAGGAGAGGGGGTAGGGAGCCCTCCTGTCCAAAGTCCTGTCGTCAGCCAGCTCCAAAGGCCCGACACCGGCCCACTGGCCCAGGAGGCAGTTTGCCCCAGGCGGGTGCTCTGGGGGTTGAGCGGGGTGGAGGAGGACCACAGCCCTCTGAGACCCTCCCTCTAAAATCCCAGTGTGGGTGGCACATGGCCCTCTTTCCTAGAAACCACATTTAAGATGTACACGCTCCTGGGAGGAATGGCCATTAAAGCAGCCAGCACCAATGGGCTTGCATCACCAGAGAAGTGAGTAGAAAGTGACCTCTGGTAAGTTCTGCGTCACTTTCAAAGCACTTTTTTGGCTTCTATTTTATCGTCGCAGCTATCCCGTGACTTTGGTAGGGTAGGTACGTGGTTAATGAGGGCAGGGAATCAGAGAGGTTAAGTGACTTTCCCCAGGTCACACAGCAACAGAACCAGGACCAGAATTCAGATCTGTCCTGGGCCAGGGCTCGCTCCACCACCCCTGGTGAAGTGCAGGGTCTGCTACCTGTCTGGGGTCAGATCTTTTTCTTTCTTCCTCTTCTCAGGTTTCTTGCCCATCTTTTTCTGGTTGAAAGCACACACACAGGCAATTGTCTTCTGTTCCTTGCCTCCCTGGCGTGTGCCCTTCCTTGTGCCAGCCCTGGCCCCTCATCTTGCCTTCGGAGGCTTCGAAGTTCTCCCCTCCTCCCTGACCGCGGCCAGCCGCAGGCTCTTCAGCTCCTGACGCATCAGCTCATTTACCTGGGGGGACAGCAGGGGGTGTGATGGGGTGACCAGGGGTTGGGGAGGACAGGTAGGAGGGTGAGGACTGAGTCGGGGTGGAGGGGTCCCTCAGGGAAGAGCCAGACAAGCCCAGTGAAGGCTGCGGGGCAGGGGAGTCATTCTTTTTGAACCCTCAGCCCCTGCACCCCAACTCTGACTCACATCTCACGCCTGAGCCTTGCTCTCAGCTGGCATCAGTGTGGGGAGAAGCCCCCAGGATGGAGTCGGTCAGCTTTCAGTTCCAGCCCCAGAGCCACTCTTTAAAGTCTGTGTGACCTTGAGCAATTTCATAACCGCTCAGCCTCAGTTTTCTCATATATAACGTCAGGAAAATCACGGGGCCTGCCTCACGCTTTGTTGGAAAGATCGTGTGAGTGGATGCTTCCAGAGTGCGCGGCACAGGGCTGGCACGCCTCAGGGAGCCCTCTAAGTGTCGGTGAGGAGGGTGGAGGGTGTGACCCCGGGCTCAGAGCCACTCCCATTCCCTCACGTCAGGGGTTGCATCCACACCCCAGGGAGAAAGGGTGACCAAGGAGAGGCAGAGGAGGATGGGGACCGAGATGGACCAGACGGAGCCCGGACTGTGCAGGGCAGGAAGTGCGTAGAGCGTGCTGCAGCGGGTGGCGGGCGGAAAGCTGGTGGCGGTGTTTGAGGACAGAGGGACGGAGCCTGGAGCACACACGCACTCACACACACATGCACAAATAATCTCACACGTGCACACACATGCGCTGGTCCACCTCTCCTCACCGAGCTGCCTGACACTTCCACCCAGACCACAGACCAAGGCCTGATCCCAAGGCCTGCGGCCTCAGGATTCAGACCCAAACACATAATATGCCCCCGACGCAGGGAATCACACCTCACACCCCTCTCCCCTTTGGCCTCTCCCCTCGGCCTCCACACCCACACTCTGACACTGCCACCTCATGATACATGGCACAGGTCCACTGCCCCCAGGGCCAAGGTCACCCCAAGACTCCACAGGCCTGGTCACTCTTCCCCAGCCCCTCCTCTCTCACTTGTGTACTCCTCGTGTCCGGCATTAATCACAGGGATGGATTTGGAAGGCAGTACTCTCAGCATCGTATCTGCTTCCTAGAACAGAAACATCCTTCGGCTTTTTTTTTTTTTTTAAGATTTCTTTTTTTTAAAATTTATTTATTTTTGTTTATGATTTTTGGCTGTGTTGGGTCTTCATTGCCGCGTGGGCTTTCTTTAGTTGCGGCGAGCGGAGGCTACTCTTTGTTTGCAGTGCGTGGGCTTCTCATTGCGGTAGCTTCTCTCGTTGTGGAGCACGGGCTCTAGGTGCGCAGGCTTCAGTAGTTGTGGCTCGCAGGCTCTAGAGCGCAGGCTCAGTAGTTGTGGCGCACGGGCTTAGTTGCTCCGCGGCATGTGGGATCTTCCCGGACCAGGGCTCGAACCCGTGTCCCCTGCATCGGCAGGCAGATTCTGAACCACTGCACCACCAGGGAAGCCCTAAAGATTTCTTTTGATGTGGACCATCTGTAAAGTCTTTATTGGGTTTGTACAATATTGCTTCTGTTTTATGTTTTGGGTTTTTTGGCCCCAAGGAATGTGGGATCTTAGCTCCCCGACCAGGGATCGACCCCACACCCCCTGAATTGGAAGGTGAAGTCTTAACCACTGGACCGCCAGGGAAGTCCCCCATCCTTTGGCTTTGACCCCCTCACCTCTACGCATCACAAACCCTGGCCTTGATTCTACCAGGACCAGCCTTCCCCTGGGAATTCTCTGAGATTCTGTCCCTGACCACTTGGCCCATGAGGCCAGACAGTGCCTTACCCCCTTCCTGGTCATTTCTCCCTTCCTTTTCTACTTCTTTTTCTCTTTTTTCTCCTTTTCTTTTTGTCCTTTTTTTTGCTCTCCTGGACCTGCACCTCCAGTTCCATTTTCAAGTATGACAAACAAGGGAAGATGTTTCAGAGAAGACCATGGGGATTTGATAGGAGCAAGAGAACCAAGGGCCCGAGCTAGGGGTGGACCCAGGACTCCAAAGGCCCAGCGTCACTGGTGGGATCCAGGCACTGAGAGTCCAGACACCTGACTGGGGTCCAGGAAGAAAGGGGTGCAACTGAGGGAGTGCTCTGCTCAGAGCTGCTGCTCTCCCAGCCCACGGGGGCCTGGAGCCACGGTGCTCTCACCAGACATGTTTCTTCTCGCTGGCTAAGAAGCCTTCTCCAGCTTCTTCTGGGTGTCCCCTCCTCCCCATGCAATCACACTGGCTACGTACACCTCCTCCACCACGTCTGCCCCTCCTGAGGGTGGCCTCTCCCCCTGCCACCCTCAGCTTACGCTCAGCACTCTCTGTAACCTCAGATTCCACCTACCATAGAAGGTCTTCTATCCCCAGCTCCACAGTACCTGTTCTGGAGTCTTGTCTGCAAAGATCAGGTAGGATCCACCTAAAGACTCATCTGGATAATCAGGGAATCGGCCAGTAAGGGCACTAAATGAACATAAAATGGTTGGAGAGACAGATGGATGGATGGGTGGATAGTTGGATGGATGGATGGATGGATGGATGGACAGTTGGATGGGTGGATGGATGGATGGGTGGACGGATGGGTGGAGGGATGGTTGGATGGATGGATGGACAGATGGATGGATGGATGGATGGGTGGACAGATGGGTGGAGGAACAGAAGGATAAATGGATTGATGAATGGTTAGATAGTTGGGTGGCAGAAAGGGTGGGTGGATGGATGGATAGATGGATAGAGGGAAGGGTGGAGAAAGATGAAGGACCAGGGAGATAGAGGGAGAGAGGGAAGGAGTGGATAGTTACAGAATAGAGAGGGGAGACTAGTCAGGGGGCGTCCCTCGATGTTTTTCCCATCTTATTCTGGCATTTTCTCTGCCATCTGGGGAATGGGAAGTCACGTGTGGAGCTGTTCCTGTAGGCTGGGGGCCCCAGGTTTAAACCAAGTGTGTCAGCAGCGTATCAGGACGTGGCGGGGGGGATGGTGAAGAGAATCCAATCTGGACCAAAGGACAAAACAGAAGTGGGGTTCAACACTGGGGTGAGGAGGGAAAGAAGGGTTCAGGGTTGGGTCAGCTGAGGCTGGGGACGCTGATGGCACTCGATAAACCACTGTCGGATTTGCCCCTTCATTTTCTCTTTCATGTCGGGCCCCTCCGTCTCCCTGAGGGCATCGTGGGTCTTCACCACGGCCGACTGGAGCTCCTTCTCGGTCTGGAGGAGTCTCCGGACATCCCCGCCCCCAGCCCCCAGGCTGGCCTGGGACATGACGCCCGACTGCTCCGCCTCGCTGGACGAGGGGAGCTGGGGACGTGGACGGGGAGACAGAGGGGCTCAGGGGTGGGAGTGGGGAGGCCCGGCCCCCGCCGCACAGGCGAGGCCTCGCATACACACCCACACGGAACAGCGGGCATGCCTGCAGCAGGAGAAATTGTGTTTGGAGCCTGAAACTCGTCTGCGTAAATTACTCTGATAATGAGTTTGCTAGATGCATCCGGGCCGGCCCCCCTGCCTGCTCCCCCCAGCACACCCTCCCCTGTGAACCTCCGGGCC